GAGTCTCTAAAGGGTCCTGGAACACACTCTAGGACCCTTTGGAGGCTCACCCTGGCCCCCCACCAGGCTAGAGGGGGCGAAATTGCCACCTTCTGGGGCTCTTCTGAAGCTTTCCAAATCTCAAAAGAGCCCCAGAAGGTGGTGATTTTGCCCCCTCTGGCCTTCAGGGGGTCTGGGTGAGCCTCCAAAGGGTCCTAGGGTGTCTTCCATAAGACAGACCTCTCCATAAGGCTCACCAATTTTTTAGGAGAAGAAACAGATTTTTTTCCCTGTTTTCTTCTCCTAAAAATTTGGTGCGTCTTATGGAGAGGTGCGTCTTATGGAGCGAAAAATACGGTATTTGATGTTCTGCATACCCAAACACTCCTTTGTGATCTATAAACACTCTTTATATACCACAGTACACTGCAGTTTTCATTAGGATCAGACATTACCCTACAGTTCACATAATGCAAAGTTTGGTTATTTTAGGAAATGAGATTAATTAACACAATCCTCAGTACTGAAAACTGCATATCAAAGACACAACTATGATTATGTGTGATGAAGTAAACTAGATCCTTCCACTCACACCCCTTAAAATGTGAGATTATTTAATCACCTACCTAGTTTTTCTGTTTAACCATGTAGTTGACTCTATATTCTGAATTAAGCAAATCAATGGAGCCTCCCTTGCTTGTCACTTAGGTCTCAGCAAATTCTTAAGTATACTATTGATTGCCTCCTTTATTGGTGCATGTCTGCAAAGTTCAACTTCTTATATGGGAAACTTGGCATGGATCACTTTCATAATAACACATCATTCATAATAACATCAATGTAGTTGAGACAACATGCAGCAATTTGTGTGTATGTGTTTACAGCAGTTAATGTGAATATTTTATTCTGCTATAGCAACAAGCATTTCAGTTCGAGTTTGGAGCGATGTATGCAGAGACACTGTGTGTTTTTACAGTCATCATGGCTTACAGCATCACTTGTCCTATTATTGTCCCATTTGGTAAGTTGACAAGTGAGTTGAGATGGTAATTGGAAAAGTAAAAACCCTTTTAAGGAAGAGCTTGAAAATTATATAGAGGTCAAGGTATATTTGCATTATCTTCATTTTACTGCTAGATGATGTGGTCACATAGGAAAATGGGGAAAGGGTGATAATCTATATCATTGTGTTATTATTAAGCTGAATTTAATGTGTGCATTTAGTAAAGAAATTAAAGGAGTTGGTCTACATACAATGTTTTTAAAACAAAGTTAGATTCAGTTTATCAAAAGTTCTTTCTAGACTTCTTGTTCTCGTCTTGTGTATCATTAGTATTTCTGCATTCAGTGCTCCTTGGGAATAAGGAGACTTGACTATGAATTTTGCAGTCTTCAGGAAGGACTGAAACAAGAGGGCCAGAGGCTGTTACAGGCTGCAGAAACTGTATGATAGAAATAATGAATATTGCCAGTAACCTGCAGATTAAAGGAGCAAAGCTATCTTTAGTGCCAGATATAGTTCATACTGCCCAAAGTATTATTTTTTTCAAAGAACAGTAGCAACCAATTTAATGGTAAGTATGATATAGATGAAGACCAAAATATGAATGTTCTCTAGTCCCTTTTCTATTCTTGCATGGCAGCACCATCTTGAGACACAGAGAGAAGTCCACTATTGATTTCAAATTTTTATTTAAATATATATTTCCACAAAAGACAGTCTGTGACCTACCAGGCAAATGTGAAATGTAAGTAGAAGAGACAGGATTGCAGCATGAGACTGATAAACAAATAATCAAAGGAATACCTGTATTACTTTGAATGAGTTCAGATCTCCACTGCCCAATGAACTGCATCCAAGAATATTGAAAGAACAGCTGAAAAGGTCTCAGAACTACTGTCAATTATTTTCTTGAAATCATGGAGGATAGGTGAAGCGCCATATCATTGGAGGAGGACGAATGTTGTCTCTGTCTTCAAAAAGGGCAAAAAGGAGGAACTTGGAAACTACACTAAGCCCACTAAGCCTGCCATCAATCTTTATAATCTTGAGCAGATTACAGTCACTGCAAGCACCTTGAAAACAACGCAATAATAACCAGAAGCCAACATAGATTTGTCAAGAACAGATCCTACCATATTAATCTTTTTTTTCATGGGGTGACCTCCCTAGTAGATGGTGGGAATGCTGTAGACATATCTTAACTTTAGCAAAACATTTGACAAAGTGCCCCATGATATTCTGCTTAGCAAGATAATTATGTGTGGGCCAGATAGCACAAATTTCAGGTAGATCCACAGTTAGTTACAGAATTATACTCGGAGAGTGATTATCAATGGCTCCTTCTCAAGCTGGGAGGCAGTAACAGGTGGGGCATCAAAAGGCTTGGTCCTGGGCAAGTGCTGCTTATCGTATTTACATGCGACCCAAAATTGGGTGAAATAGCTAATAACCTGGAAGACAAAAATAAAATTCAAAAATATCTTGATAGGTTTGAGCACTGGACTAAAAACAACAGAATATAATTCAACAGGGATAAATGCAAAATTCTACACCTAGGAAAAAGAAACCAAATGCACAATTACAAGAAGGTGGGGCACTTGGCTCAGTAATAGGATCCAACAGTGCAATGCAGCTGCAAAAAAGGCAAACACTATCTTAGGCTGCATTAACATAAGCATAGTCTCCAAATTCTGTGAAGTACTAATTCCCCTCTATTTCACACTGGTTATGCCTTATCTAGAGTATTATGTCCAGTTTATTTTATTTATTTATTTATTTATTTGATTTATACCCCGCCTATCTGGACTACCAGACCACTCTAGGTGGCTCTGGACACCACACTTTAAGAAAAGTGCCAACAAAGTGGAGCAAGTTCAGAGTAGGGCAACAAGGATGACTAGGGGACTGGAAACCAAGCCCTGTGAGGAAAGACTGAGAAAACAGGACATTTTTAACCTTGAGAGAAGAAGACTGAGGGGAGATATAATAGCGCTTTTCAAATACTTGAAAGGCTGTCATAAGAAGGAGGAGCAGGATCTGTTCTCTGTTATCCCGAAGTGTAAAACATGTAATAATGGGCTCAAGTTATAGGAAGCCAGATTTCAGTCGACTATCAGGAAATAACTTTGTTAGAGCAGTACAACAATGGAACGAATTAACCCTGGTGCTACCCTGGAGGTGGTGAGTGCTCCAGTACTCAAGGCATTCAAGAGAAAATTAGACAACTATCTGTCAAATATACTTTGTTTTGGACTTCTTCATTGAGCAGGGGGTTGGACTTGATGGCCTCATAGATCCCTTCCAGCTCCATTATTCTATGATTCATCGAATTTTACTTTTGGATTTTTAGATTTTACTCTGGTGTTATCATTGTATAAATTTTATGTTTGGAATTACACTTTTCTGTAATACTCTTCTGTAATACAGAAGAACTTTGTAGAATAAAAAAATCACTGTAAAGATGTCAGAGATCCCAATGCTTTTTAGATTACTGAAAGCAAAAGAAAACCTCAAAAACTGCTGGTGGGCTGTAGCCATATTTAGAAAGTTATCTAATATTTTTCAGTTTGACTGGGTTCCTCTTTTTGTTTTCTTAGCTGAATTTCTAGACAGATAGGCAAATAGATTCTAGATTTTGGTTAAGACTGCTTGCTTTTTTGCATTAAATCTTGCTTCCTGTCAATAGCTAAGAGTTCTTATTGATATGCTTAATCGTATTATGTTTAACATTTTTGTATAAACTTACTTTCCAATTCTGTGCTCTTACCTAAAAATAACGCCACTGAAATCTGTGGCATTTGCTTTTGAGTTGACATGCAAAGAATTGTATTGTTTGTATCAAAATGTGTGGTGGGATGCTTTTTTACTGGGGAAAATACTTTCTGACTGCTGACTTGTGTTTATCTAATGGCCATGCACGGCATTGTCAGCAGAAACAGCTAATCCCAGGGAAGCACTCTTGGCTTTTGTTCCAAAGAGAAACTCAGATGAATGGATACTCTTTCAATCTCTGTATATCACCCAAAGTGCAAATGTTCATTTAAAAATATTAAACAATCAGAACCTCTATGAAATCTTCAAGCAAAATATTTATGGGAATACATATCCACAGCTAAGCAAAGATGTTCTTTATAGCATCACAGAATAAACTTTAAAAAGCAAACTTACTTTTGCTGGGATTTCAGACCTAACTGCTGGACCAATTAAACCAAGAATGGCAAGAGCTCATGCACGTTTCCTCATCCCATGTTGTACCATTTCATGAATGAGAAAAAAATCATCTGGTCTTGCCTTATAAAATAAGTGTACATCTTTTATTCAAAATTAATATCAAACACCTTGTATGAGAGACCATTGTGCATCTTGTGTTATAATTCCTCCCTGCTTATAGAGTCTGAATACAATGATCCTATATTATTGTACACTGGAAATCATTACGATTATGTTTTGAGAAAATAGGGCAGAAATGTATTTTATTATCATTTCTTTGAGTAACTTTGGCATTTGTTTCCTATTTTCAGGGTTAATTTATATGCTGCTGAAGCATACAGTTGACCGCCACAATCTCTACTATGCATTCCTGCCTGCAAAGCTAGAGAAGCAGATCCATTTTGCAGCTGTGAACCAGGCTCTCGCAGCTCCAATTCTCTGCCTCTTTTGGCTGTATTTTTTCTCCTTTTTGAGACTAGGTAAACTCAGGTGACCTTATAAAAATAGCAGTGTGTTGTGAAGCACATAAGGAGTGACCTTTGTTGTGGGGCATGGATGTCTGAATTACACTGTACAGTATCTGAAATCCTGATGTAGTAAGCTGAAACTAGAGTAGGCAAATTGATTCAGTGGGGCTTAGATTTGTCATTGCTTTTATGAATTCCTGCTCTTATGTTGTGGGCCTGTTGTATTTGTGCCTTACTAAGCCGCCTAGAGTGGTCCTGAGTTGGCTAGATAGGTGGGATGTAAATAAAATAAATAAATAAAAAATAAAATAAGGAGCAGAATTTCAGCAGTATATAGATGAAAGGATTAGGACAAAAATGTGGCTTTAGGAAGTGACAGTATCCTATGTTGACACCAAAGCAAAAGTAGATATTTTAATGGAGGATTGGGAAACATGGGGCCTTTGAGATATTTTCAGATTGCAACTCCCATAATATGTCATTGTGAGCTGTGCTGACTATGGGAGTTGTATGTATGTATGTATGTATTTATTTTATTTTATTTTATTTTATTTCTGTCCCGCCTATCTGGACATATTAGACCAAAGTATGTCAAAACAATCAGGAAGGCCACAGTTCCTCACGTGTTTTAATATACTTGGCAAAGAGTACTCTTTCAGGATGACGCATATTTAGATCTATGTGTGATAAGACTTCTTTTCCTCCTGTGTGTGAAATTATTATGAATCTTCTACACACCATCCAACTTATGGTTTACTCTGTATTGATCATTTTGTCTCTCTCTCCTTTTTTAGGTTTCAAAGCGCCTACAACTTTATTTACATTTCTGGTTTTAGGTATAGCAATTGTTATTTGCTTGGGTTATACCTGCTTTGGCTGCCTCAAGTACCTGAGTCCCTTGAATTACAAAGTAAGCTAAACTGTCTTTGAGTGGTGCTAAATAATAGCCTCTGCCTTATTAGAGATCTGTTTAAATATTTAATATGAAAAGAGGACGTTCTCTAAGTAAATATATATTATTGATACTAAAGTAATAAATCTGGAGTACATGGTGGACAGTAGATATGTAGTTTTATGTATAACATTTTGTACATTTTGAAGTGTTTGTTCTATTAATGTGACTCTCCTTTTGCATATATTTTGAAGTTTTTTATTTTATTAACATGGCTCTCTTCCAATCATACCTGCAGATAAAAAGCAGTGTTTCCAGTGAAACCACAGATGAGTCTGATCTACCAGCAGCACCCAAATCCTCTGTAAGTATTTTTCAAGAAAAATTACTTAGTTTTAAAGGGGAAAACACATTTCTTGCAAGGATAGAGTTTGCATGATCAGCAGTTTTATAGTGACAAAACATGTTTAGTTCGTACTTGCTGACCTAACATACATAACTGTTGTCAAAATATCTTCCCTGCAGACACAAAATCTAGCTGAGGCATATTTAGAGTAACTCTCCTACAGAGATTGTAACTCTAAACTTACCTATAGAGATAGTAACTGTTCTCTATGTAATAAATATGACTCCTCATAAATATTTCAGCAGTCAAACATTTACTTCTGTTTTAAGAGACCTATGGCAAATAAATAATTTAATCTGATATACCTAAATTGACACATCTGGAAATTGGTTGGGACGGCTTGAGGGATTTGTCTGTGCAAAACAGGTGGTAGGAGGAAAAGCAGGACTGCCCTGGGACTCTGAAATAGTAATACATTGCCCAGTATTTTAAAAGGTTTTTAAAAATTCAAGATTCTACTTGTGTGTTTGACATTCCAGGTGTTTGTCCCTTACGTTCTGCAACGTAGTCCTACTGAGAGGACAGTTCTGGCTCATTTTGACCAGCAGGGCTATGGTACCATGTCAGAGAACTCTGCAATTGATGAAAATATGCTCCGCTTCTCTTATGCTGAAGAGCCTGTTTTCCTTGGAGACACATAGAAATGTGTATCTGGGTGTTGTCATGGACAAACACAAGGTGGCGCCCTTGGCCTTCCTTCAGAAGAGCAATTTCACAGAACATTCTTATTTCAAAAGAATCATTGATCTGGCCATTCAGAAGGTTTTCAATTGTGCTGATTTTACTAAGTTGCCAGTTTGGGATTGGTTGCTTTTATAGGTCATGACACAAACTGTGGCACAGGCATACTGAATAACCGGGACCAGAGATGGTGCTTCGGGTTTACTTGTTTGCCTTCATGGGGAAATTAGACTGTACAAGCAAGTGCTAGATCACTGATGTTTGTTAAACACTTGGGGGATTATTTATTCCAAAGGCAGCACTTTTTTCTGTATGTTTAAAAAAAACATTGGAAAAGCCAAGCAAATGAAATTGGGGAAGTGTGTGTTTCTTTTCTAGTAAAAGAGTATTCTTCCCTCCTAGAAAAGAGATTTTCCTGGAAATGTAGAGGGAAGGATGTACTTGTAAGTAGAGGATTTGGGGTGGTCAGCAATATTTATTTGGCAGCTTCAAAGTATGGACTGCATTTATTAATTTTCGGGTCACTGTTTTAAGGGCCTCACTCAAGGGAAGCTTAATTTAACAAGCAATAAAGCATATGAGCATTTTATTGTTTTTAATCTCTGGCTTACTAAAAAAAAGGTTATCTTCAAGTGCCAAGAATATCACAAATACTGTATAATGTTAGGTTGTTTTTAAATTATGATGTAGGTGTCAAATTTCTACAGGAAGCTATATTGGAAATAAATGAAATTAAGTGATCACATTTAATAAAACACTGAATTCAGATGCAATTTTGTGGCTGTGTGTATTGGGGTTTGCAAAACTATGCTTCATGAACCCCCACATCTGACCTTATTATCATATCAAGATAGTAAAACTGAACATCCATATTTTCCTTGATTAAAATGTCGTTTGAACAAACCATGGAAAATAACCATGTTTTGCTCATTCTGCAGAATATATTCTGCTACCCATAGGGAGAGGCAACATGGAAACATGTGAATGGCAGCAACTCTCCATGGTCTTAGACAGAAGCTTTGCTCTAATCTTAACTTCACCAGGAAATGCTATTGATTGAACCAGGCATATTTTGCATGCAAACTATGTCCTCTAACACTGAACTGTGGGCCTTCTTGCACATCCTCAAATGTAGAAAAACTAGATTGCTTTTTGCAATGTCTGTTCTCTGAGTGTTTGTCTACATATTCACACGAATGGGTCACCACATACTGTATGCAGAGGCACCCTTTCAGAACCATCTAGATGTGAGGGAGAGCTTTCGCAATAGCCCATCCCCTCCCATTCACAGTGCATATTTTGCTATATAACTCCTCAGTTTTATTAATCTGGGTGACATAATGGCAAAAATTTGGTTGACAGCTAATGACAGAGAAGGAAGGAAAGATCATGATGAGGCATTGCTGACCCCTGAAGAACAAGCATTACAAAAAGTAACCAATTTTAAATGGGTTGTAGACTACCAAGTTTAAACTAAACAGTAGAGGCAGAAGTGTAGGCAGCTACACTCACTGTAGCACAGAAAAAATAAAAATTATTTGGAGGAAGTGTACTGCCCAGGAACAGGTGTCAAGAAAATAATGCTCTATAGAAGTGGACTGTTGAGATTAGGTTGCACATCATCACAATTCGGATAAGGAATCCCCTAGAGGTAGCTGTTGCCCTGGTGTGATGGCTGTTAGTGATATTACACAGAGGTTGGTCTCTTGGCCATCTGGTAAGCTAATGTGATTGATCCACAATTCACTTAGGAAATCTCTGAGCAAAAGTGCCCTGCCCTTCACTCAGGCTTTTTTCAGTATGCTCTTCTAGACCTTTAAAAAACTGTTGAGGGGACTGCCTGAATGAAACTGTTCCCTGGAACTGAGAAGCTAATGTCCTCCTTACATCCAGGCTATGGAAAGCTTTTTCCACTAGTGTTAATGGGGGTAGAAAAGGCAGAAAGTATGCTATCCTAACATAATCAGATAGCGCCTTGGGCAGGAAAATTAACTGCTCTGACCACCACTTTTTCTGGATACCAGTGAAGTAGATAAGCCTGCTTCTAGAACACAACCTGCCCCACTCTATGTGCATATTCAACAGCCACCAAGAAAGCTGTCTTAACAGTGGGTAGTACAGTGGAACCTCTACTTACAAACATCCCTAGGTATGAACATTTCAAGATACGAACAGCTCTGGCCGCAAAATTTTGCCTCTACTTGTGGCCGGAGCTTCAACATACCAACGAAAAAAGGCAGGGGAAAATTTGCTAACCATTGGTGGCGAAGAGGCTGCTTCTTTGTAGCTCTTTCACCCCAATGGTTAGGAAAAGGGAGGCTCAGCCTTTACTTACTCATTAGTAAGCTGCCGAGGGCACGGCTCTACATGTGAGTAAAGGTAGTTGAAGCAAGGGTCTGCTTGTGAGTAAGCACTGCCAAAAGCACGGGTCTACACACAAGTAAGCACCACTGAAGCATGGGTCTACTTGTGAGTAAGCGCCGCCAAAGGCCATGGACGGAGCGTGCAGCAGTGGCACAGGAGGAGGAAGAAGTGGCCAGGTGTCGTGCTTTGGAAGCCCGGGAAGCTGGCACCCGGTGTGGCGGTCGGGGTGGCTTTGGAAGCCCAGCAAGCCTTCGCAGAGGCTTTTTACTGGTAAGGTGCTGCTTTTTCCTTTTATTTAAAACATTCTTCTGGGTGAGTTTTGGAGGGTAGGCTTGGGCTGGGGGGGTATGTTTCTGTGTTGTTTTGTTTTTTGGTGATTTTTTTTTTTTTTTTTTTGGTCCCCGCGTTGGGGTTGGTTCCAATGTTTGTTTTTTGGATTTTTAAAATTTATTTATTTATTTATTTGCAGTCCCAGTGTGGGACTTGCTCTGTTTATTATTATTTTTTGTGATTTTTTTCCTTCGGCCGGAATGGATTAATCGGTTTTGAGTTCATTACTATGGGAAATGGTGGTCCTAACGAACATTTCTAGTTATGAACACCGTTCCAATATGGATTAATTTCGTAAGTAGAGGTTCTACTGTACTAAGGAAATGGTGGCCATGGGTTCAAAGGGAAGTTTCAAGAGCTGAGACTTCAGGGTGGGATCAGCATACATAGGCAGATCTCTGCTGCATGCCACCCAAAAACTTTTAAACTTTGGAAATTGCTGGAATCAATTTAGGTGATAGAACTGCTAAACTTCTATAGATGAAAAAGATAACACATTTTTCTAGTTACATAAGGAAAAAACTGCATAACCTAATAAACAGAATAATTATCGTAGTCAAGTGAGTGGCTTTCTGCAAATGAACAACATATCTGCTATTCTGTAGGCAATGGATTTGTGAGTGGAAGATTTTCTTGCATTCTGTATTTTGGTTATTTTTAGTGGGATAACAAATTAATCTCTATTCTCTGGCGATGATAGCTGGTCCATCAAGACCTTTGGGGAAACTAAGTTACATTTGTTCGGAATAAAATGTAGAATTGTAATGGCATAAAAGCCAGGATGTTTAAAGTCCTATGCATAGTTGGGTGAATAAGAGAACAAAGGAGGCAGGCCCCAAAGTTTCAAAATCTGTAGAGCAGGGCCCTTTCGGTGATCACTGGTGCCATGATACAGTAAGCCGTTTCCTCAGAGTGTAATGATCATGGACTACCAAAAAAAGGCTATAAAGCTCCAAAGTCATTTTTAAAATGTCATATATTTGACCTTGCAACTAGCATTAAGTAGGTATTTCAATCATCAGGTGTTTCAGTCTTTGTATCAAGTTAACCAAGTATTTACAGCTTGTTTAAAGTCATGTGTGGTGAAGATTTTCGCTTATTTCTTCCAATATCAGTACTGTGCATGATGGAGAAAATAAATTGCAACACATGCAGCATGAATTGATGTTTCCTGAGCTCAGTTAATTGGTGTTGGCCTCTGTTAGGAGCATAAACACACTTTTTTCTTATAGTGATACTTGCCTTCTAAAGATACTTGCCTTCCTACTTTGTTTTGGATCTTGTGTTTACAACATTCAGAGGGCTTTATCTAATTTTAGTTCCTAATATGGGGGCTAAGGAGATTGGAGGGAAGTTCAGGAGAAACAGGCATATACCCAGTGAAATTAATGAGACTTGTTAGTCAATACTAATTGTATCAGTGGAACAATTCCAGTTGGGACTGAAATTGAATTTATCACAGAATTCTTTAGGTATACAGCAACTTCTTTTATATTCTTAGAACGTAAGCAATCAGTCCTTCAACTTTGTGTTGAAGCAGTCATACAAGTGCCTTCTATCTCATGGACTTTTTCCTTTTATCATGATGAGTGCTGTGAATTTCAGTTTATGGGAGTAGTTTTGCATTTTTTTTTTGATGCTGTCTTCATGAAATGCATTCAATGTCCAACAGCAGTTTTCCAGTACAGTATTAGACACAGAAATTACTGACCTTTGTAGTCTGTTTGTAACAGCTGCAAGAAGCTGCTTCAGATACTCTGTAGCCAGCTACACAGGGGCAGGATTTGCAGCTGCTCAGTAAAACTGACAGTTCATAAAGTTAAAGGTAATAGCACTGAAGAACTGCTCCCTAATGTCAATAAATAAAAGTGTTTGCCCTTGCGTTTTATTTCTGCATATCTGAAATAAGCCTTCCAGCTCCTGCATCATACAAACTGCATCCATCTGCATAGCATGCAAAACTACAGGAGGCCAGTTGGAAAAAGTGCAGTGTGCCTAATCTCCCTTGTGCTCCCATTCCAACGTACTTAAACATCTTCAGCTGGTAAGCAGCTGTCTTTTGAGAAATGCGAACTTGGCCCAGCTGTCTTTCTACTGCCTCAGTAAAGGTTTAATTCTGAACCCCCTACAAAGGAATGTGTTTGTGTGAGACTGTATTATTTAGTGGGTCAAAATTACTTTTTCCTTATTCAGCTGATCTCCATTACTAACCCACCCCAAGTTAGAACAGCCAGCCATTCTGGTTCCCAGAGACTGGCCTCTTCCTTGTTGGCCTGATTCATATTATACCCAGAGAAGACATGGCATGGTTTTCAAACACTATTCTAGTGGGTGAGAGGAAGCTATGCATTTCTAACAGAATTCTCATCACCACACCAGATTGCCATTTTGGTGTCAGTAAACGTTGAGTGTAGAAGAGATAACGTGCACACAGAATTTATGGGGCATGCAATATCTTCTGGGATGGGAGGCACCTAATATTTTTGCAGTTTGCTCTACAGTCCAGACAAGATGGAGGTAACTATGGAAGGAACCTCTTTGTGATAGTTCCTTGGTGTGAAGCATGTATAGGCAACTCCAGAGACTCATCAGGGAGTGCTGCATTTCCCCAAATGAGCAAAGAGATGAAAAATCAAAATCACATGCTGTTGGAAAATAATTTTGCTTTTCTTACTTTCATGTGTATGAACGTGCATTTTACTGTAACCACCATGGGATCAGGAAATTACGGTACCTTTTTTTCTTCCTTTCTTTTACAGTGTTTTTTAAACATGGGGGGCAGCCAGGGGGCTGCAAACAGCCTTGGGGAGTGCAGAATATTCACTCACTATCCCTTCTTTACTTTTATATCACACTTAGCTTATCTTTAGCAGCTATATTCCATACTTCTTTGTACCATTCGTTTAATTGAAAAATCATACTTTATTTTCCAGTTCTTAGCTATCATCAATCCTGCTGCTGTTAATAAATTTGAAATACATTCTCTAGTTGACCAATTATATTGCTCCTTATCAAATATTGATAAAAATGCTATTTTAGGGCATACTTCTAAATTTTGATTAGTTATTTC